TAGATACCTTATCTGCTTCTGATCAGCCCTCAAAATAAGAGCCAATATATTTTGAAATAATATTTATTTTATAATCTAGGCATTTTTAAATCTTGTAAAAAGGCAGATGTGGAGAAAAAGTCATCCATGTCTGTCCTTAGAATATTTGGAAGCAGAACAATGCACAGTTAAAGAGTCTGCCATTTTGCAGCTTTATGGTCAGTAACATGATCCACTGTGTCTTTGCTTCTCTGCTTTTTTCTATTCCTCTGGGGACCCTATGTAGATGTTTCCTGACCATAGGAAACATGGTCAGGATATCCCTGTGATATCCCTATAGTCAGTTAATGTTCAGAATTTTAAGAGGACCACACTAGAAAATATATCCTGGTGGAGCCCTCCAGTGAAGAAGTGCCTTAAATGTAACTTGTGTTTGCTATGGGAATTCAAATGAATCATTTAGAAAGGTGTTAAATTAAGGATAGAGAAGGAAAGGAGGTAATGTTATAGCTAAAACATTTTAAATTCCAACTGTGTCCACAGTCCTTCTGATTTAAACTTTCATTTTTGCTAAACTGAGATTTCTTTTCTCATCTACATTTTCTTCAATTTCTTACATTTTACACTTCATTCTCTATTTAGTGCAGTGTCCAAGATATCTTTATACTTTTTTCCTCAGTACAGATCCTGACTTAGCCTAATTAAAATTAAATACAAGAAAAAGGGCTAAAACAGTAAACTTAGTATATGAAAAAAAAAACCACCAAACCCTTTTTTGGATGTTGTATGAATGTTGTATGTTGTCTGATCTCTTCTCTATCTACATGTTTGTATTTCAGCTTGTGTAGTCTGAGATCCTTGGGGTAAAATTATGGCAAAAGCCAATAGCAAATGTCCCCCTTGACCAGGAAAGCTGCATCACAGTGGTGTGTGGTACAAATATCACAAAACTTATATACTCTATTACAGGACAACCACAGGCACTTTGTGAGCCCTACTTGAGCTCATACTCCTCACTTCTGTATTAACGTAACTTCCACAGGGAGCATTAATTAATGTGAAATTAATTCAGCCGAGAGTAACCTCTGAAAGCAGGCTGACACTATCAGCTGTGGCTTGTGCAGGACACCTGAGGGAGCTGCAATCTATGCATCCTTACGTAACAGCATTAAGGAGCAGTTACACAACTTAATGCAAACACCACCGGCAGATGAAAATCCATGGCACACACAGGATCTTGAGTAATCATCAAAGCAGTGCCAGAAAGTAAATTCTACCTGCAGAAAACAGGGGTTTGTATTAAATCCATTTCCTGGGATGCTCTGTAGTTCTGTTGCTGGTGGCCTTAATAGTCTGCCACAAAGTGGATTTTCATTGGGAAGTTTTTATCCTTCAAAACCTGTTAATACAAACTTTGAGCAAAGCTGCCAGAAAATGTGTGTGCAATTCAACTCATATCTTTACTGATTGCAATAATAAACTTTTGGTCTAAAACAAACAGTTCATTAGCAAACAGATACTTCTGTGCACTGAGGTTACTTGGGCCTCTCTCCTCCTGTCATCCCATTTTTCACTCACTGTTCAGACACTTAAGAGTTTGATGTCTGAGTGTGTCTTCATTATGCCAGGGCACTGCAACTTTTTCAGATTTAGTACAGGGGTAGAACATACTGCACTTTTTAGTGCACAAAATTTATTAATGTCCTTTAATTAAAACTGTTAATTCAGGCAATACTTTAATCTCAGAGGTTAATTTAGGTTGCAGGGTATGCCTAAAGTCAGGCAGTTATGGCTATCCACACCTCTATTCTAAACTCAAGAAATGGTATCTGTTGTCTTTGCACTACTTTCAGAATATTTTCTAAAGTTGATCTGATTTCTTGATAAATATGTTTCATTTTTAATTAAAGGAGCATTCCAAGCCCCACTTTAGATACTTCACAGTGCAGAAGTTGAAGTGCTATACAAAGTATTACATGGGACAGACTCTGTTCCCTTTTACATCAATAAAGATTGGGATTACTCCAGATTTCCACTGGTATAACAAAGTAGATTTTTTTTCCTCAGCCAAGAAGAACATGGATGGCAAGACATAACTGTGGTCAGAAATTCTATTTGAAAGATGAGTAGTTCATCACAGTTTAACTAGGTGACATCTTTAGAAAACCCTCAAGTATTTAAAACACCATCAGGCCTCAGATAAGACACAGGTGGTGTTTTTAGTCTATGGGATTGCTTCCTTGACTGATGTGTTCGTAATGGATAAAGAGGTGACATTTTTGAATAAAATATATTTAAACAGCAATAAAATAATAATACTGGATAACTAAGGCTGACAGGGCTGGACAGCACTAAGGGGGATAGGAGAGCTGAAAGAAGTTTGAGGTTTATCTTTTTCACAGCCTGATAAAAATCCACCCATCCAACTTTTCTTCTAACCCACCAGTTTATTTGCCCTGTTGACTAGCCTATTTTAGTATTCCATCTCTCCAAACACAAGCACTTGGAAATGCTGAAATAAATATATTCAGTCCCTGAAAAGCCTACCCAACAAAGCCCAAAGACCAGGTTTAAGAAGACCTGAGGCTTTCTTGTTCTCTTTTTCCATTTTATTCCCACCTCTCAAGAAAACACACCATTCCTTTGGGATTTTTTGGTTAAAACATGCTGGTGGCAAAATATATCCCTCTCATCAGGGAGGTGTGCAGTGATCTGGAGAGGGGAAATGATGCACCTGAAAGAGAATTCCTCATCAGCCATCACACTGGAACAGCTGCAGTGGCAGTGGGAGGGTGTGAGGAGTAACTGAGGGAGGGGCAGGAGCTGTGCAGAGTAGCAGAGCCTTTAGAAGCAGTGTCTGAGCTGTGCTCAGGCACTCACATCCCATTGCTTGTGAGGAGTAGCACTGTTTCCTGTTATTGAAGGAGAGCACAAACATGGGGGAGGAAAAGCCCCAGAATGAAAAGAGACTTCATGGAGAATGATGTCAAATTGTGACTTTTAAAAGTACATCTTTTACATGATTATCCTGGTTGGGCTTTAATTTTGTTTTCTGGGAGCAAAAAAAGGAAAACAGCTTAAATACTGATAACATATTTTTCTCTCATTTAAATTCCCAGTTTAAAAATAAATAAATAAAACCAGTTTGTTTTCATGCCAACAATTCAGTTTATCAGAATATATTTGTATTAATTTCCTAATTAAAATTGTATTGCATTTGTCAGAGCCCTTTAGGCAACAGTAATGTCAATGGGATTAATCACCAAAGCATTCTTTTCTTGATCAAGGTGTTTTCCTGAAGTATTGCTACAAGGTACATCCAATTCAGCCATGCTTGAGAACACTGTAATTGTGTTTGACAGGAACATCATTCTTTCTTTAATGAAATAGGTTTCCAAAGTGGTTTCTACCACCTACAGTTTGGAAACCAGTGTGCTGCCACATGGGATGGCTTCTTTCCTTGCCTACTATTGGCAAACTGCCATTTTATCTCTATATGCTCAGTTAGACCTCTGCTTACAAACTACAGGATCTATTAGTACCGAAAAAATCTGGGAAATGTGATGAAGCATTTATGTATCATCTTCTCACCTTCATATCTTAATTTTTTAAGTGTTCTTTGTACTGGTTATTCCAGAATTATTTACAACATCCTAATTATATTGTTTTAACTGACAGATACATTCCACAGAGTTATTTTTAATCAGGGATTTCTCATGTTCAATTAAAAAATAGTAAAGAAGGAACACATAAAAAGATAACTGCAAAACAGGCAGTGATTCAGAAAAAAATAAGGCTGCTCTGCTTCACATATCTCTCCATTTTAAGACACCTGAGAAACATTTATTTTCTCATTTATTTTCTGCACGTATCCTGAGCACTGTATGGAACCTCTCACTGTATTTTCTTTTATGCAAAAAATATAACAAAATAACCAGTGCATTACCATGGCCTGCCAATCCAGCCACATATGTATGTGGTCATGAGAAAGAACATACATAAAATCTGCCTGGATAAAGAATGATTCATCCATAGAGAGGAGGTACCCAGGAGAGGTGCCAGGGATGATCTCTGTCCTCTGCTATTTTATCTGTCTTGCCGAGGCAGTTACAGCTCCCATGACTGTGATACCAGAATATATAAGGGCATACAGCTGTTCTTACAACACGCAAATGGGATGGACAGATAACATGGGTTATCCTGGGTCAGGAGCTTGGAGAAGATCATTGCACAAGCTTCACATGCTCTTGGTGGGTAGAAGGTATTTATTGACCATTCCTATATAAATCATCACCTAACCTAATTCCCAAAGTATCCAACTGTTTCTCAAGCATTCATGCTAAAATAGTCAAGAGGTCCCATCTTGGAATGGGACTGGACATGAACCAACAGCTGAAATGACTTGCAGCAACTTCTTTCAGTGCACAACAACTGCTCTTCCACTATGATTGTCAAGATAAATATATTCCATAACAAGGCTTCTAAATGTCCATTCCAGTCAATCATTTTAATCACAGAGTGCTAAGTAAGACTGTATTTCCCCTATTGTCCATGTGGTCATAAAATTCTAATTAGATGTTGTTAAGCTACTCATGCCTCTAGGTTTTCACAGTTTGATTATCAGATCATGCTTTAAGGCAACATTATACCTGAAACTGATTTGGAAGCAAAACATCCCTGTTTACATACATGAAGAAGCCATCCCCAAACTATAAATATGTTAATATGATCTTGTTAATTTACTGAAGCCAGCAGTGACATTTCTACATGGGACACTGGCATGGTACCATCTACTCTGTGTGATTTAAGTTGAGTTTGATGACTGATGTCACCTGGTAGCTTCTCCTGTAGATGTACCCATTGCTGCTGGGCTGAGTAACACAGTAGCCCATAAATTCTATACAGGTGCTTTACCACAGGTGAAGGAAAAATGTTCTTTATAAATTTTTTTTATTTTTCCCAGTCAGAAATTTTTGGTGTTTTTATACTTATCTTTATCTGTAAAATGGCAGAATACTTACCAGCCTGGTAGGATGTTGGGTAGGATAATTAGCTGTTATTTTGAGATGCTCTTAGACTGATGAATGTTAAGTCCTGCAAGAGAGAGAAGTATGTGATCCACTGACACTTGATTAACACACACCTATGTCATCACCTCTGCAGCCCTTACAGCAAGAAACAAGCAAGGCTGGATTGCTCAATTAATAACAGGTTTGATAACACCTGTCAATGAAAAGTAATGTGTCCCATATGTTGACATGTTTTCCATTAAAACACCTCTTTTTACAGTCCCATCCGAGCATTTTTCATCCAGTTCCATCTTTCTAACTCAGTGGATTACTATATTGCCAGTCTTTTGGAAGCTGGGCTAGATGGCCTCTGTGGGTCCCTTCCAACCTGAACTATTCTCTAATGCCAGTTCAAGTTCATGCTCAATAAGCTTAGGCAGCATTAATTTGTTTCAGACTTCATGATAATGCTTTTAAAATAATTTCACTAAGACAACATATCTTTTTATTCTTGATTCTAAAGCCACAAGGGTATGTTGTAGCTACCTAGACAAAATCCTCATGACAGAAAACCTGAAAGCAATAAAGGTACCAAGGAAAAAGCATGCAATAACAAATGCCATGAAGTTCCAGAGTACCAAATGTGCCAAAGACAAATTCTGCAGCAGGACCATTGCAGCAATATAGTGAATGATGTTTTCATCATGTATTTAATACATTTTAACTTTTACTGGCGACAATTCAAGGTTAATGAAAATCAGAGGGGTTGTACTGGAATGGATTTCAACAATGTTAGAGAGTTTCATACAATGCACCCACTCAGGCGACTTTGGAAAGCTTCCACCTTTCATATCTTCATGCTGAAATATCTTGGCTATTTCACTGTAACCAATATGAGCTTTAAGACTAATTTAATGCATTAACCTTAATATGGTGCAGTCAGATGTAGAAGCCAACCAAATCAAAAGTGTTTTAAACAGTTTTTACTAGTATCTTGCACTAGAGCTGGTTGGATATTTTTGCATGAAAGAATGAATGGAATTATTGCATAAAGTTAATCTTTATGGGGAACTGTTCTTGTTAATCATCTCTCATTTAAATCTAAAAATAAGAGCAATTTTGTCCCAATCACTTGCTGAAAAATGAAAATGAAAATTTCAGCTCAGAAATTCTGCAACAGTTATGGAGAAAGAGGATGAGCTCACAGTTCAATAGCAATAGCTTGATATCAACAATATCATTGTGTTTCAGGAGAGATGCAGTCCAAAGGCAGCATCCTACCTTCATTCTCCTCTCCATGCCAGGATCTTTGTCATATGCTCTGCAACATCTGCCCTGGTATAATGCAATTTGGTTTTGTCTGAGATAGGAGTCCATGCATCTAAATGCATCTCCCAAGGTCTCTGCAGTAATATTTCTGAATAGAAAAGATTTTCAGTTTTCTCTCTTTGAAATCTGTGGACAAGTCTGTGATCACAGACAAACTTTTCTCTGTTCTCTTTACATGGACATCATTGTACACACACAGAGCAAAATTTCCAATAAGTTTGGACATGCAGGACAGTTTGAGGCAGAAAAGCACAAATACATTATATTAGTTAATACAAATTAAAGTCCTGACCCTCAAATGCTTGAGCTGAATGGTTCCCTCTCAGGAGAGGAATTTCAGTGATGCTGAAGAGGCCTGTGACATATGCGTTACTCACAGGAGCCATGGTGCAAGGCTGGAAATCCACTTCCAGCTCATTATGCATGTGTGGTTTCAGCTGTCCTAATTGCAGGCTCACAGAGACACACACAGTTTGGCTTTCCAGCAGAGGGGGTAACAAAAACCTACAGCCACTCAGCACCAGTGCAACACAATGTACTGCAGCAGGCACCTCTCCACAGCAACTGGGATGAGCTGGTGGCTGCTGCTGTGTCATACCTCAAACCAGCACTTTCCATGGAGAGGAAACAAGGCAGAATGAAAGCTATGAGGAGTTCTCACATTCTTAAATCAGCATGCCTTAGTGTTCATAACATGCCTTTGAAATTTCCATTTCAACCCCTGGATATTCATTTTGGAAAGAATAATTTGAATTGCCATTGAAAATGCAATGGCAATAAAAGACAAGATAAGAGGATAAACACAGCTCACTCTGAATCAGAAGATTAATTATTTAGTCTTCTTAAATTTATCCCTATAAGAAATTAGATAATTACATATTACCTAGGAAAATCCAGTTGCTGATATATCTAGTAGATACTCAGATGAGTGAAAACAGACATGGTGCTAATCAAGTGGGAAAGTCTGAAATAGCAACACAGAAAACCATTGTGGGTTCTTAATGCAGAGGAGTTAACCATATGGGGCAGTATTGCATACCTTGTGACCACAATTGTAGCCCCAGCTGTAGCCTGAGAGGAGCTGTGTTTCTGCCTCCCTGGGCATCTGTGAGACCTGCAAGGTCTGCAAGGTAGCAGGTGTGCTCTGGTACAGTCAGAAGGGGTGATAATTTGGAGGTTTTTTTTAAAAAGCATTATTAGCACAAAACTGGAGTGGACTTACAGGTCTCAATCATATTAATGATTTGCCACACCTTGCTCTTTCATCTGCTTTGTCTGTGCCTCTTACAGCCTAGAAAAATTGTCCTAAGTCCTGCTAAGTCCTGCTAATACTGAGGAGTTACTGAGAAGATGAGGAAAACTTGAACTGGACTGAAGGACCGACACACTGCGTGAGCTTCACCCTGGTAAGCCTAGATGTTTGTATCTGTCTCTCACATTAGGAAGAAACATTCATTTCTAGGGCACAGACCTTCTGATCCCAGAGCAAATGCCTCAAGCATCCACTTGCATCATTCATAACAGCCTTTGAAGGACCCAGTTTCTCTGCACTGAACATAAAATTTAAGTTGACTATTCCAAACATAGACAAACCATTGACTTCTAATCATGCCAAACCCCATCCCAGCTGACCACCCTGACAGTCTGGTATTGGAGCAAATCAAGGAAGAGTTTGCCTAGATGCACAGGAGTGATAGGAAACCCTGAGATGTTTGTAGTTACCCAGTGCTACAGCTCAAGGAAGTCAAAGCCCGGACTTTGAAATATAAACAACTTCAGAGTGACCATCAAAGGCTTTAACCAGCTCAAATCTCTGCCAGCAGAGCCTTGCAGCTCCATCTTCCCTGCAGGGTTGCTTCTGTCCTTGGAGAAGACATTAATCCTCCCAATGAGGATATCCAAGGCTCTCACTGTGATGGAGTTAATTATAGGTAACCTGCTGATGTACAATTAAATATGCTCACCAGCACAATTTGTGGGGTGCATGGTATGCTTTGCTATGCCAAGTAAAAGGATCTGACAGTGGACAGGAATAAATACCAGCTTGTACTGCAGGAGATTAGTGATCTGAAGCACCTGCTGTGTGACAGAGACACGCAGGTTAAGATGCCAGTTCAAACAAAGTCCTTTAAACAAGGAGGTTTTGTCATGCAGTGTTAGGAAGTAAAATTCTTCCTTCATCAAAATTAAGGAATAATTTCTGAATATTTGCTTTTTACTAGATACCAGAGGAGGAGTGAGCAGAACTGCTAATCCACCCAGTGTGCTACAAATATTGTAAGAAGAGACAATTCTCCTGGTAAGAGGCCTGAAAGCTAAAAATATAAGGCAAAAGCTGAAGGGCAGCCAAAAGCACAGGGTGATATTCCATGTCTGTGGTCACACAGCTGGCCTGTGCCCAGGGCCTCTAGAGCTTGTAGGGGAAAAAAGTGTTGCATGGAATGATGTCTCTCACTGTCCTAAATTAACATGAAGCCAAAGTTCACCATCAGTGCAAGGGCACAGCTGGCAGAATCTGCTGCTGAATGACTGATCCCACCACCACCAATGGAACCAGCAGTGGGAGTGGATTTGGAGCAGTCTCCAATGGGATCAGAAAGCTGTTTTACAGAAACCATTGCAGAAATCAGGAGAGATCCAAGGAAAAGCACCAGTCCTTCCTGAACTGGACACACAGATCTGGAAAGGGCCTTTGTACTACCCCAAAGTTCCCCAATTTCTTGCAGGCTGAACACAAGGAAATGTAAAAAACAGAAATATGTTCTAGGTAATATGACAGAGTCTTTCTTTCCATACCTTACAAGACTTAACCAATACAAAAACCAATACAAACAAACCTACCTTAGCTGAAGAACCTTGATGGGAAAGTCAAGGGGAAGTTACGTCCTCCCAAAAGTTTCTGGAAGAGTCAAAGATACCCAGAGGCTGAAAATACATGAGAGACCCTCAGTGAGCACTGTGAGTTTCAGAAAAAAGTCCAAAATATTTTGTTCAAGTAATTTCTTCAAAGTTAGGATCAAAAATGAAGCAGCCAAATGAAAAAGAAAACAAACAAAACCCCAAAAAACCCAAAACATCAAAGTACTATGAATAGAATATGAAAAATCCAAGGAAACTGCACAATGTATGTGATTCCCTGTGCAGGCTAGCACCTGGCCTGTACGTACTTGAACATACCAAGATTTATTCCTATCCATGGACTACACAATGTATTTATGTTTGCAATTGATGTATTGCACAATGTAATGAATAGCAAAGTAATAACAGAGAATAAGTCAGTTTCCTTGGCACCAGGTTCTGGGTAGCACTAATCTGCAAATAGCACATGACTCATAAGCAATTCCCTTTCATATGCCAATTTAAAGGGAATTATATAGAAATTTATATTCTGCCCATACTCACACCCTGTTCAGATAACCAGTTTATACAGTGTTGGCTGTGATGTGTACGGTCTACTAACCTGAGTCCTGATTATTAACCAAAAACAGTTACCAGAGAAGGATGAGCATGGCGTAAGTGAAATCCTATCTTTAGGCCATTACATCTAAGAAAAACTGTCATCACATTAAAGCAGACTATAACCTTTTGGTGAATTAGCAGCTACCTGTTTACATGTGGGAGAGAATTAATTTTTTCCAAAAAGTAGGTAGCAGGCAATTTATTTTGGAAGGGCTGAATGCCCTCAGTGTTAAGATCCTAGGACTTAAGCTACCACTGTGGACTGTTTCAAGAACAGCACAAGACATTCCAACACATCACAGGAGGATTCCTGGCCTCCATGGCATTCAATCAAGAAATGTCTCTGTTCCAAGCCTTGCTTTTCATTACTCTTTGTAAGAACAGGGAGTAGAAATTTAGCACAGGAGAGGCAGGTGGTGGATGCAACACACTTCCAGACACTGCCTAGTTAATTACAGCTATGGAATCATACTCAATTGTAGTATGAGCCAAATAGATTCCAGGTTTTTTTAATTACTTGTTGCTATATTAATGTTACTTCTATATTGGTTAGAAAAGCTGTGACTCAGAAAAGAGCCACCACAAGAATGACAAGTATTTCAAACTGCAAAGAAATGCACTGGTGTTTCCTGATGCAGATCCACCAAGTGGTAAGGTGGTGAAAATAAAAGCGAATCTTAGAGCAGATAAAAGAATATTCTATTTAACTCATGCATGTTATTAAATACCTATTAAGACATGAATAGCAGAGAATCTTATGGGGCGGGGGGAAAATTGCTGAAGTCAGATCTGCTGTGCCAGTGGTTCAGAAAGGCCAGACCCTTCTAAGCTGGGAACTGGAGTGAGTAAATCCCCTCTGCCTCTGCATGGCTGATTCCTGTATCCCAGGTGAGTGCTCAGCTAAGGGTGTATCACACTCACAGCTCAACACACACACACCAGGCTGCACCTCTGCCTCTGCTCAGGACAGCGTGCCTGCACAGCCATGCACACACTGAAGAAGTGCCTGAACCCCCTCTCTGGTCTGCCCTAAGAGCAGATCCCCCCCTGCTTTGTGCTTACTTGGCTTCCCATCTTATTTGGTTTTTCCTCATTTCTTTTGCCTTTCAGTGTTTTTCAAAATCAAATGAATGCTATGCAAGAGCTGTGTCAGTGCAATGCCTACCCGGCAGGGTCAGGAAGATGGCAAAAGCCATCAGCCTTACAAGGATGAGGGAGAAGGGCAAACAAGAGCAGTTATGTCAGACACTTTCAGAAGCACAGACAAGGCAGGGTCAGAGAGACCAGAACAGTTGAAATCACTCAGGTCCTATCCTGAGCACTGCAGTAAGGCTCAAAAAATACTCTTGTAAATCGTTCTGAATCTCAGGAGACTAAAAAAGCTTTAAATTTTCCCTTGCATTGCGTAAGAAAAGGATTTTCACCTGAGAAGCAGATATAAAAGACTTGACCACAAAAGTCTTCTGTCTGTATCTCCTAAAGGTATCTCTCATTTTAGGGCAGAAATAAAAGCAGGATGCAGAGGCTGAGTATTTTTCCGATCCCTATCAGCTGCTCGTTAGCTATTTAGAAACTCATTAACTTCCAAAAGAGACCTTGGCCCTAATTAATGCCTGGACTGATCAGCCTGCCCCTTCCTCCTTTACCTCTGCCTCTCAGAGCCTTCTATAATGATTAAAGGAAGCTACACTTCTTTTGTATAATTTTAAAAATGGCATTTTTTGAGCTGTCAGGATCTGCACAAAACTGTTGAATTCAGTTCTGTCTTGGAGCTTACCAGACCACTCTAGAATTCTCCAGCTTGCCTTGGCACCCTAGCCCTTCATGCATACCTGTATCACTCTTAAATCCTTCACTAAACCAGGCTCTGCAATTTCCTTTCCTTGGCCTTTCCTGCAACAGAATCTGTTTAAACTGTGATTGAAGTCCCACCAAGGCCATTCAATCAACTGTACTGTTGGTGCTAATCCTGCAGTCTTTTTGACACTATCAATAAGAGGGAAATGAATAAAAAATGGATTAATTCCATCTTCCAAAATTATAATATATTCTGCATGTAGATATGCACCCTCCATCACAGTGACAAAAAGAACTTTTCAATATAATAGAAAAAGAAGAGAACTCTTCATTTTAATTTCTGTGTAAATAGATGCAGTTACACTCTCAATTTCAATAAGTATGAGCACTAAAAGATAAACTGGAAAAAAATAAAAGAAAAATTAAAACTGCAAATCACAAACACAGTCTTACTTGGGGTCTTATGCAGTTTAATGTCTCTGGCCAATACATGCAAATTATTTTTTATTTCTTGAATTTCTTCCAGTTTCTTAGAAATATATTTCACACTCATCATGTCTGCAGAAGAAAGTAAAGGCTGCCATGCCCTGGAACTGGTCATTTTGGATGGCTGACATGGGGTGCTCTGCTGCACAGCCACAGGTGCACTCACAGTCCTCTTCCCAGGTAACTGTGATCGTCCTTATTCACCAAAATTAGAGGAAGCAATGCCCTTGCACATGGGCTATCAAAATAGTGAGTACAAGGGCTATAAAGTAGTAATACTACCCTAACAACTCTCTAATTAATATAATTAATGTAAATGTTACCTAAAGGCTCTTATCTTATTGTAGCTATGCCCACAGTGTTACAGGAAGGCAAACTGAAGCTATCGTAATTCATTAGCATAATTATATATTAATGATAACTCTAAATTTCTTTTTCCAAAACAATGTTTGGAAAACATCATCACTACAGCAACAGGAATTCCAGCAAGAGTGAGGATAGTAAACTCCTGAAGGATATCCTTCTAGTAGCAATTAAATTGTATTAAATTAAATTGCAATCAAAAGATTTGTCAGCCTGGTAAACATAATAAAATATTTCAACATAACAGGATGCCATTCCACACAAAGAATTTCTTAACATTATATCTAAGTGAGCCATGAAGCTAGGAGTCCACTTAAAATAACAGTCAGTGACCTGTTAAAAATGTTCTTGCTCTGGCATCCTTACCTTGAGTAGTCACATATTTACCAAGCTTGAGCCAAAGGTATGGTCAAACCACTGATTAAATATTTCCTGAATTCTACTGCTGTTTTCCTTAGGATTCCATATATGTGTTTACCCTGACCACATTTGCCTATTTTCTTCTTTACATTCTCATACAAAAATTTCCAATTTTGTATTCACTTTGTATTAACCAGTCCTCTGTATTTAAACACAATTTTATGCACACACTCAGGCATTTTCAATTTCTTAAAGACCAATCTTTAAAAAGGAACACACTAAATAAGTGTGTTTTCCCTAAGTAAAAATTTTAGTCTATATTACTCTTGGGAGAAAAGGTTTCTACTTCAGAGAATTCTGTGACAGAGAAAACTTTCCTAAACAAGAAGTGCTTTCCCAAACAAGAAGATTTTTAAGCACAACTGATCAAATACCAGACCTTCAATCCTGGAGAGCACTGCAATATTTCCACATTCATTCTCTATAGAATTTGGTTCAAAAATGGAAATAATGAATTCTATGGAAATATATCTATATCCTAAAGATATACTTTCCTGATGGGATGGAACATTATCTCCTTACCAGTTTTCAGTTTTAAGTAACTTAATGGAAACAGACCCTTTTCAGAGTGAACACTGCTTTTCCAAATGGCCCTCTCTGCCAGAATTCTCAGGGAATAACTCTAAGCTGCCCTGAGCAGTGCTGGAGGCTCCTGTACTTGCAGGATAAAGACCAGTCTGAAGAATACATGGTGGCCTCAGCAGCCTTGTTGTAAAGTGTCACTTCAGACAAAGTAGAGTCACTGGGAAAAGTACTTGGTGAAAGATAGGAGTTAATTTTTAAAAGGCTTTAGTGCATGACACTCAAAATTCAATAGATCTATTTGGCAAATATAGAGGAAGACACTTTTCCAGTGCTAATAATAGTTGAGAAAAGTCCATCAGTTTTGCAATCCTGAAAATAACTAGATTTAGATTCCTAACTAACTTTTTTTAAAAATATGAGTTAGTCATCTAAAATCTCTTAGATCAATTTTTAAAAGGTATTTAGGTGCCAAGCTCCCCAGACCTAAGATATTTGCTCATAAACAGGAAGTCTTGCAGAGAAGATCACATAATTTAAAATTTAAAAAAAGCATACTTGCCAAGCAGAAAACTCACAATTGTCAAGCACTTAAATAAATCATCAGCATGATTGATCTCAGTGACCTTTAATCCCAATGGCTCTTTTCCCAAGCCATCCAGGACACCCTGTCCAGTATGTTACATCTAAAAGATAATATCCATTAGATGGCTATATACAGCATTTAGATACAAATACCAGGGCTTGTCCCTTCACCTGAGCTACACTGCCCACTAGTCAGGATGCCCCCAACTTTGGCATGGACAGGCAAATAAGAGATAAGAGAACCAGAGGAACTGCCCCTTCTGCGTGCAAAATGAGAGGAAAGGGCAGTCCTC